GGAATGACATTCCATTGTACAGTAATGAGGACCATCTGATTCTCAACACCAGCCTCTTGTAAAGGAGAACAAAGGCAGCATGCTGTACTAATAACTAGCCGACAACAATCTGCTGTGATCATGGCCGTGAGGATTGAGTCACATCTGTGCACACAGTTCCACAATATGAAGGTCATTCCTGTTTGTCACAGTGATGGCTGCTCCTCTCCAGTGGGGGGCTCTCCCTGGCTTGTATTTGTGACACACTGATTCTTATGAATCCCCCTTTGTTCTTAAACTCACCAAGAAATATAATGTCGTGAAACACTGTGTGTGTGTGCGGAGCCTCGATCGCCCATCGTGCACGTCATGCTCGTCTGTTCCTTCCCCCTGCCGGCTGGCCCGGAGGACAGCATCGCTGAAATAAAGCGGGATTGTTTTGTTCCCATGATGTGATGGCCAACAAAGCCCCTTGATGAAACTGTCAGTCCCTCTGCAGGCCCACAATCACATTAGATATAGATGATGTCACTCACCCGCGCCAGCCCTGGCTACTCCAGGGGTAGCGGGCTAAGAGAGAGCAGTGATGAGGTGGTGGGGGAGGTGGTCTTTGTTTCACATGTCATCTGCACCCACCTCCCCCTCATTCCCCCAGTGGCAGCAGAGGTCTTTCTAATTTGCCCTTTGTTTCACATAGATGGCAGCCTTCAATAGCTGCTGAAGATATACACTTCATGACCGGAGTGTCAGTGAAGTGTTACTAACCTTGCACAGCAAAATGCTGCTACACTGAGCAGACACAGACCAGCAAGGGCTGAGCAGACCCAGCAGAGCCCCCCCCCCCTCCCCCCAGACACATGTTCAGACACGAGGCAACGATGCATCAGCATGCTTTAGTCACTGACCGTAAAGGAAAGGGTGACAGGGGATCTTAAAAAACCTGACTGGCCACATCAGTGAAATGGCATTCCTCCGTGATGTGGCTCTGTCTGGATAGTCAAATACCACCTTAAATAGATGAACACCCTCAAAAAAAGAGCCATTAGCAAAGTTACTTCTGTTTAAGCCAATTTGTTGTTAGTCTTGTACTTGAGTATTTCCTTTTTATGCCAGTACATACTAAAGCAAGATTTTACATCCAAAATACATAGATGTATAAAACAATATAAACTAATTAAAATGAACTCTATACTATTTCAAGTGGCCTAAAGGCAGGCCAGAATCCTAACAATGCATGGAACATAAAATGCCTCTAACAAAAAAAGATGTGGCAAAATCTCTCCTGCGAGTCACCTGATGCAGCCTCCGACCTTGGAACGGGTCCTGCGAAACCCTGCTCCAACAGAACCCAACCAATGCAGCGTAGCCAAGACAGCTGCACCTAGACCTTCAAGCCCTGCAAGGAGAGACACGTCCCGCACTCTATGGCTTGAAACAGCCCAGAGTGACTCAGCTATGCCAGCCAGTTTAGGGACTACGGCTAGGAGCCGCACAACCCTTAGTGACTTCATCTCTGGCTTGTCGCACTGGACACACAAGTCCCATCATGCAACTGCTGCCTAAAAGGTCCAGCTGTGCTCCACACCATTTTGGCTGAGGTCAGAAAGAGTGCATGTGCCATTTTGGGCCTGGGCCTGCCCGCCATTTTGGATCAGTGTGACGTAGCCACCCACTGGTCATGTCTGCCATTTTCCTCGCAAACCACACTTTGAGACAGTTTTTTACATTTGGTGATTGGTCCCTGATTCCAGCGTGGTGCCCCGTATTTCTTCACTTTGTTAATACTTTTTATAATATTAATACCTTTATTAATGTTTTGAAAGTATGATATTTTGCTAATAACCTAATCTGCGCTACCTGATCTCCAACAATACTGTATCAAAGAACACTCATAATGTAACACACATTCACTTATCAGAAGTTATTGAGTGCTTTATCTTAAGTAAAGGATCTGAATACTGATTCCTCCACTGACAACACATGACATCAGTCATGACATCACACTGGGTCCTGTGAAACAACATTATTGACTATTTTATGACATTCACACTGGCACATGTTAGATTAGTGATCATTAAAACAATGTATTTTGATATGTAAGAAAACTGCCTCTGTGCAGCTTTACACAGTATATGATTACACTGACAGGGCGTTAGGGAATATGGTGTAGTTACCTCAACTATATGTGACAGAATAAAGCCAATATATTAATGATATGCTGTTTTGCAAAAATACATGAAATGTTGTCATATTCAACGCGGACGGACAAAGGAAAGACGACTTGGTGAAAACCTCAATGGGAGTAACTCTTTCTTTAGCCAGTTATTGAAGATGTTACTTCCACACTCCATCTCACACCTGAAACACACAGCAGCTCATGCATTATTCATGCATGCAGTGAGTGAATGAAAGGGATGCTGCTTTGAGCATCCAGGAGCCATTCCCTGTAGTCACTCTTTGAGTTAAGGAGGGGAAAAAGCCCTGATGCTCACTTTCCATAAGATGACAATCTGACAGAGACTTTTTTTTCAATTATCACGGCAACAAAGTCATTTGAAGTACCACAACTCCACAGTACATGTGGGATGTGCCCCAGTTTTCACAGCAGCTCATGTATGTATGCATATGTGTGTGTGTGTGTGTCTGACATCAGTACGTCAGAGGGGTACTTTCATCATGTGTTCAGTGGAGGAGCTCTGATGGGGATCGGTTGAAAGTGACAGTGAGAGAACTGAGGTGATCATGAGTGAGGAGTGTTGCTGAACCTGATGAGCGCAGGGCCCAGGGTGGCGTTAATCTTGCTACAAAATGCTACCTGCTGCCGACAACGGGGTTGGTAACAGCTGACAGGTGTTAATTGGCAATCACAGCCCAGTGATACACTTTCTCACACCTTTCACTGAGTCTTAATCCTCCAGCAAATGATAGATCAAATTAAAACTGTTTTACTGCCATCCTCTCTCATGACAGAAAAAAGGCAATGCAAATAGTCAAGAAAACTAAAATAACACTAAAATAATCAAAAAGTCAACAATGAAGTTAAAGGTGAGCTAGGATAATGTATTAAAAAGGGAGAAGATGGAGTTAAAGTGGCGTGGATATATAAATTTGTATACGGCCATTCTAGTCTTTTGCGACCACTCAAAGCGCTTTGACATCACATTCACCATTCACACACTGAGCCTTAGTGGAACAGCCACCGGGGGCAATTCGGGGTTCAGTATCTTGCTCAAGGACAATACGACATGCAGCCTGGAGGAGCCGGGGATTGAACCACCGACCTTCCGCTAACGGGCAACCCTCGCTCCTGAGCGGCAGCCGCTCCCTATCAGACGTGTACAGCGGTCCTTATTTACGACAGCGGTGAATTGCCAATTCTCTGAAACTGTAGGTGCACTATATCATCAAACATTTGAACATAAAGAAAACTGCTTTGTTAACACAAATTGAGTGTGTATTATAAATACTGTAATATTACGGAACAAAATGCCTCTTCTTGCCCTGTGTTTGTCTGTTGGTCACTGATATACAAAGTCCATAACTGTCCTGAGTCCTGACTAATGTTTTGTGAGCTGTTTTCGACACCAGAGAAGATAAATATATAAGGTATATATACAGTATATAAGGTACAGTAAAGTGCAGCGTAACTTGCTGTCAGTCACCAGAATTGGATTTCTGCTGTGGGTCCATTTAACTCTGTTGATGCAGGATGACAGTCACCAAAACTGTCTAGTGCATGAGTACATGTCAGACCATGTTACATGTTTAACCCCCTTTTTTTTGTAAAAAGCCAGTGTGAACAAGCACATGAACAGAACTAGAAGGCAACACAGTACCCCCCAGTCTGGAACAAATAAACACTGAAACAAAAGATCTGAAAGGCTTTTCCATCAAAACAAACATGAAAGTAAAAATAAATAAAAATATCAGTGGATACTGAATTGACCCTGCCTATATTTGGGACAGGTGTCTATATGGGACAGGCCTTTAATTCCTCTTGCACAAAACTGAAATTATGAACCAGTTTATTTATTTCAAACAGAATATTACTTTATTATTATCCAATAATATCAAATACACCTCATTCATTTGACCTAGCTCCGACAGACGGCTCATGCACTTTTATTTTGAAGGCAGCAACGTGACGAAAACGCAGTGCAGGATGAGAGAAGTGTGGCAGAAGTTAGCAGACGGACAGCGATGGACTTCACATGACAGGATTCAGGATTCTTTTTTTCCTTTTCATCTCTTGTACCATGCCGGTTACACTGGTAAATCTATATGAATTAGACTTTGGGTCTTGTTGTTTCCGCTAAACGAACGACGATTGAATTGTGGAGGATCTAACCGATCTAATGATGTGCAGCATGTCCATACTGACATATTGATCATAGTGATCACGCTTAAACATTAATATTTGTATTAACGATCTAAGCAGCTTAGAAGCAGCTTAGAAGCAGCTAAAGCGGGCAACCCTACAGGGTTTAAGAGGTTTTATACATCCAAAGAACTTCTATAAAAACCAGACCAGGCGTTTAATGGAGACCTGCATTTATTTGTCAAAATGTGTTCCCACATCAGGCCAGGAAACGGATAGGCGGCTATTTGGGACTCAGCTCTTAATGGAAGTTTTACGGTAATTGTAAATGTAATGTGCAAGTATGTGTCATTCTTGCTATGTTCCATTCTTGGCTTTTCCAAAGATGCATTTCTGAATAACTGGATTATGCAACCAAAGCAACTCTTCAGATTGCTTTTATCTTTGATAAAAATATAGTGGGCACAGCACACTGCAGGCCATTAGTTAGAGTTGTGTTTTTTGCTTGCTTTTGGACTGTATATAGATTGCTGTAGTGGTCACAGTTCATCACTGTGTGGGGCTATAGATACTGGGGGAATGTACAGAGAGTCTGGTTAGTATTGCTTTTGTACTGAATTATATTGTTGCATTGTCTAAGTGAATAGCATTTCCACCCTTGCAAGAGAAAACTGTCAGGGAAACTGTATATTTGATGACATACCTCTTTCGGAAGGCTAACGACCAAGCCATTGTCGGCATGGCCCACGAGCGCCTGGAGAAAATACTCGCTGCAAGCGGCCAGCACAGCCCGGTGCCCGCGGAACTCCTTGCCCTCAACTAGGACCGTCACATCGCACAGGATATCCTGCTTCCGCTGGTCATTGAGGCAGAGGAGGATATTGGTACAATGAACCGTCGACTCATACACATACATGGGGGCTTCAGGCTTCTCATCCACGGACATTCCGCTCATGCCCTGTAAATAGAAGCACAACAGAGGGGGGTTAGCTAGCACATCCATCAGCCCCAGCAGTCTGCTGCAGCCAGCCTCATGATTCCACACATACAAGCCTGACTGACTGCTGCTCTCTGCTTGATGAGCTCCCTCCCTCTTGAATCACAAAAGACTGACTAACACATTTCCACTTACACACTTTCAAACATCCGAATCACATGCACAACAAACCCAGGTAATTACATCAACAAATAAAAACAAAGGAACCGCTTTTATTTGAAAGCAAATTAAATTTAAGATACACAGGAGAGTCCAGAGGAAAGTCTGGGGCACTTTCTGCTCTAGCTAGAATTCTGCATGTGTTTGTAATCTAAGGAGGACTCACTGTAAAGGTATGCTGAGCATCTTGGCTTCACTCAGCAAGAGAACATCAGCTGAAGAACAGTGAAAATATCAGTACAGGAACTCATTCTTCACAATAAAAGAACCCAAATGGCAACACAGAGGTTGATTTTTTAGCTATGAGAATGGAAACAGGACAATAAGTACTATAAATATGGGTACAAAGTACTGCATAACTGCAGCTACAAAAGAAAAACAGCAGTTTTACAGTACTTTATCTTGTTGACCTAACAATAAAGACACAATTTCTGGACCAACCGGCTTGGGCTCCAAGTCAAAGATGAACTCTGTGCCCGCAGCAAGGCTAACCCTGTCCTGACCTAGCCCTGTACTTAATGCACAGACATTGGTATTGATCTTTTCATCTCACTCTTTGATAGACAGAACTATTCCTTTTAAGGTATTTAAAGAGATATTAACACAGGGCCCCTTTATGAGACAGGGCAACAAGATTGGATGTAATTGCAGGAGCCACCTTCCTATTTCAGTTTTTATTGTGTTTTAATTTAGCAGTTTATGAAATTAACATCAATACATTCACCCACAGAGCCCACTTAGCAATCCATCTTTGGATTTACAGCAACACTTGCAACAACAGGAAAAAGGACACTATCGTCCCTGAGCATCTACCTGCTGCATTTACATTGTCAGGGGTATTCACATTAAAAATATAAAACAAAGGAAGTCTTACGATCTAATTTGGCTCCAGCTTTGTTGCCTGGCTGGAGTCATGGTAAATCAGTGTAACTCCACACGCTCTGGGAACATAACAACATGTGCCCCTGATTTTCCTGCTCAGCCTGTGATGATGGCAGATGCACAGCTATCTACCAGACACACACACACAGACACGTAACTGCTCAAAAGGCCTTCATCTTAAACAATACTCAGTACCAAGATGTCTCTCTAAGTTTGAAATGAAGTGGCATGAGGTGATGTCATCCTTTTGTCCAGTGCCCATGTTTCCACCAGAGTTTTTTTTTAGCTGGCTAGCAAACTATCAGGCAAATTTAGCGGTCTAGAAAAAGTGATACAAGCAGAATTGGTTAAAAGAAATAAAACATTTTCGATGAGTGAAAATAATATAAGAGAAAATATTCTGAAACGCTGGATGTTTACATGCTGTATAACTTGTGCTGCATTTGATTGACAGCTCATGGGTCATATGGGCTTCATTTACGGTATCAAGTTGTTTATGGGATGGAATTTTTTCTAATCTGATGTCTGTGTTTTTCTGTAAATAAAAAACATATTCATGACACATTATCTTCCTAGTAATAGCAATGGCCAAATAATCAAGTTAAGCAAAGGAAGCACTCACTGACTCATACATTTATGTATAAAAATGCTTAGCAAGAGGAGAAGTGTTCCTGAAAATGAGGAAGCACAGCTAACATCCCTTTTATGAATAAAAAGGTCAACACGGTGATGAGTGCCATCACTTGCCAACAGAAGCTTTTCTGTTGTGGCAAGTTCTGTTCTGGATGACTTTCCCGTTATCCATGATTCTCAGAGCCAGTGGATCTGGTATTCCCACACACACGCCTCAGGAAAGTGTGTGTGTGTATGTGTGTGTGTGTGTGTGTGTGTGTGTGTGGAATGGTGCAAGTGACACTACTAGCGCAAGTGTGAAAAAAGAGACTGAGAGGTTGTGAAGCTAGATGCCCCTCGCCATGTAAACAGAAAGGGGTGTGATGGAAATGCAGTGAAGGAGAGCCCTCAACAGCGCAGCTGATCAGCTGAGACTCCGATCACTAGGTGCTGTTTCATGGGCAAATGGTTTTCCTTCTGAAGCCAATTCCAGATTATAAAGTAACTGGTAGGGGAATTTACATCACAACTTTTTAACCCAAAAAAGGATTTTTAAAGGTTTTAATGCAGAATAAAAAGCTGCATGTAAATGCAGGGAGTGATCACGAGTCTCAAGTGCAAAACTGATGTTGGAAGAATATGTCAACCATGAACACTTCCTCAATGTATGTATGTCACATACGTACTAGCCACAGGAAACAGATTATTGGACTAAATGCTAAACTGAACAATGTTGGATAGATATGGCATACCACTCACGTGGGCAGGAAATCTATCGCACCACATGACACACCAAGAAGACTCTTCAGCAAGCAAACAATAAGAAGAAGCACAGAGTATAGAATGTACAATGTAAGTTCTTTGAAAGAAGCTAGCTCAGAATTCTCAGTATGGAAGTTATGCCCTTATTTAGAGCAGCAGGGAATTACACTCTGAAACTGTAGTGTAGGGGCACCAAATCATAAAAACCTACAAAATATTACATAATATTGCTTTAATTATCAAATAAGAATCCAACTAAACTGTAAAAACAAGGAGATTTAAAGTATTTCCTGAATGTAGCGACTCAAACCGCAGATTGCACAAATTAATTCTTGTTGCATTTAACTGTGTCACTTGCAGAGTATATTCATTATCTAACTGGTGATCCTTACAGATACAGATCTACCTGAGATGTGCAGGAATTTTAGGCCTTAAATCAGCTGAGCCTAGCCTCACAGCACTAGTTTAAAGCTTGCTAAGACTCACATTTTTGCAGTGAGAGCCTGGAAAATATCTGGACAACAACCACTAAAATCAACTCAGCTGGAAGCCAGACCAATCAGCCAACTACAGTGTAAAGTGTTTTAGTTGATGACGTAACCTTTTAAAACTCTCAAATGTCATGACCATCTAAATGGTAATGAAAGCGAAATATGCAAATGACTCAGCGACTGCATGACCTATTTATGACCTCAGGTTTATGGAGAAACTGATTTCTGGAGACAGTTGACAGCACATCCAGAATAAACAGCATCTTTGAAAATCAGAAGCAAACACAGCCCAGTGAGTTTTGTCCAATCAGGTGCAAGAAGGGATCATGGATGTCTCATACCTACTGTACAGCCTGCTACAAATGCTGACTGACACAAGCAAATGTGCACTGAGCCTGGACCACAATGAGGGATGCGAAATTGAGGGCTGGTGTATTAATATCAGTTCATTTGCACATTCTGTTGTTTACCTGTGACAGAGTTCCACTGATGGTTTGACTGGAGCTGCTGCTACAAGACATCCTGGTGTGGGAGCTGTTGTGGAACTATGTAAGTCAGGATTTTCCTGTGGTTCTGGCTGTTCTGGTGTTGTATAGTTAGCTTATTTCCACCAAACATTTCTCACTTGGCTTCCTAGTATAATGACTTGTCTTAGACCTGCCAAGAATAATGTTTCCAGATGCGGTTGCAAGGTTCAGAGCAATGCTAACATGCTATTTCTACCCTGGAATGCGCATTCACTTCACTTGGACTTGTGGATGGTTTGTTGCAGAGGGAGGAAAATGCAGCGATGACACAAACACACACACACACACACACACACACACACACACACACACGGTGCAAGGATATTTATACTTACTCACACCGACAGACACATACCCAGACACACACACCACAAAATAGCAGGTTGTAGCAGAAATCTGATTATAAGTGCTGATGGATGCAAAAGATTTCTTTTTTCTTTCTTTTTTTTGGACTGCAGGGTCAGTTGTTGACGGCAGCTCTTTCTGCCACACTAATACTGATGCTGCCAGCCTTCTTGGTGAGTTGGTAACATTCTTGTGTAGATCAAAAGCACAGCGTGATGGTGATGAGTACGCCCTAGCAGCGGTCAGAGCTGACTTCAGGGATCACCACTAGCGGCTCCTGGAGCGAGCCTTCTGATCTGAGGGAGGACTAATGTGGCTTAAGACCTGTTAGCTCTGCACTACTCATTACAGCAATTATTCTTGTGCAGTTACAGTGTATGTATGTATATGTAACATCCTGTACCAGCTGGAAGAACTATTTGGAAGCACAAATACCACACTATGAAAATACGCCATTATTACTCCACTTTATTTATACAGCGGCAATTCATCTCACTGCGATCTCATTGCACTTTTCACAGCAGGTCTAGACCGTACTCTTCGTAATAGTATTTACAGAGACCCAACCGTGAGCAAGCACCTGGTGACTTTTAGAAGGTAGAAACCTACAGCAGAACCATGGCTCAGGGTCCACAGAAGTAGCTTCCAAAACTTTCTGCTTCTCCAAACTGGGGACATCTACTGCAAGTAATACACTGACTGTGGGTAAGTATCTTACACTTCAAAAATCCCGAACTATCCCTTTAGTTGGAAGGCATCATCATAGTAGCTTAATACCCCATTAGAACACTGTGGTTCCTAGAATCTCTAAAAGTAGAATGGGAACCAGAGCCTTAAGAGTAGGCTTAAGACTTTCCTCTTTGATAAAGCTTATAGTTAGGGCTGGCTCATGTGAGTCCTGAACCATCCCTTAGTTATGCTGCTATAGGCCTAGACTGCCGGGGGACTTCCCATGATGCACTGAGCTCCTCTCTCCTTCTCTCCATCTCCATCTGTATGCTTTCTTATCCCATTAATGTATGTTACAAAACTACAGGAGAGGGAAGAAGTCGAGTTAGTGTTCTCGTCCTTTACATATTTCCAACACATTCCTCTCAGATCAGACGCATCTACAGAACAATGACAGGCAAAAAAGTCCTTTTAACATCATTCATTTCCCACTGATCCACTGATAGCTGCAGTT